AAATGAAATTAAGAATCGTAACATTTCAGATTATATACGTCTCTGCTAATGGGACTCATGCAATCAAGTGGCATAATTGATCTACAGATTGGACTTAAAACTAAGTGGTAACAGTATGCAAAAAATAAATAATACAATTATCATAATAAATATTAAAAAAGCAAAAATATTAGGTTTGGTTTAAGGATGCGCAGCTTCTCGGGTGTGGATAACTGGTTCATACGGAGACCTTTGGTCCATTGTGCTCATTCTAATAAATAATTAAATTGTTGGTGTGGGAATGAGATGGTGATAGGAAAGAGATGGAGAGAGAGAGTACAGGTAGCAGGTTGGCCTGCTTGGCCAGGGAAAGCTTTTGGCAAACTTGTAGATTATGATGGGATAGGTGTTTGAAAAGAGGGATAGAGTTTCTCCCTCCTACCTGCCAAATGAGAGATGATAAGAGATTTTTTGAAGTAGCTGACATAATAGCTTATTAGTGGTTAAACAGACTCATCAATTGGTAGATCAAGCAACTGGGACCCTCCTCAGACTTAATTATCAGCCACCTCAATCCCCACTAAATGGAGAAAGTTCGCCACCAGCCTAAACTTTTCTTAATATATCTTAACGTCTATATAATTGAAGTCGAAAATTGTGGGCATGTAATCACTAACAAACCTTACTTCTCCTAAAATATGTATATATCAGCGCACTCCTTCCTGCTTGTAAATTGAGCTATAATAACCAGTGGGTGGAAATTCAGCGGCATATCAATGGAGTTGGAGGAGTGCAGTTGAGAGCTCCAGTTGTCAGCAAGGACCGGACTGTACGCACCGTTTTTAATTTCGACATGAGCGATATGGATTCAATCGCGTGTGACTAGAAGAGACACCCATATGTGTTCTTGCTCCAGTTGAACCGTTGGTCCAAGATCGTACCGAGGCATCTAGCACACGAGGAAACATTCAAAGCACTGCATCCAGTACTGGCAGCGAAAATTTATCTATTTTACGATTTTTGTGAACAGTACAACTTCAGTCTTCGCAGGGCTAACCCCCAGACCGTTGTCAAGAGTCCATGCAGCATTAGGTCTTAGGTTGGAAGAAAACTATCTCTTATCAGCACCATCACGTCACCGGCATATGTTACTGCCTTTATTCGAAGTTGGTCGAAACTCACAAGTATTCCATTTATCTCCAGAATCCATAACAGGTGTGAGGGAATCCCTCCGTGTGGTGTCCCTCTTCTGACAGTTTTCCTAATAGAATTCTCTCCCAAGCTCGATTGGGAGGATAGAGGAAATACCAATTAGGATAGAGGAAATACCAGAGGCAAAAGGAGCATTATTGATCGACTCCAGTCTCACATTGTTAGAAGTGCTTCAACTTTGAATTTAAAAAATACAATTATTTAAATACGCCTTGTTAACGCTCTTAAATTTTTTTCTGATGCAAAGTCCCAAAGCCAAATATCATAGCAGTCCTCATACAACATCAGTTTCTTACTAACCAGCTGATATTTCTTACATAGGATTTTAAGAATGAAATAAAAATCGTCTTAGCTTCAAAACATGTACATCGCTTTTCTAGCATGTGCATTAAACCTGAACAGTTTCTTAAAATGTGTCCCTATATTCCTAACTGTATCATATAAAGATATCAATTCCATTTACTAACTTGAGACCTTACTTTCAGGAACAACATAACATTTACACTCCCCCGAAACATTTCTAATGCAAATTGCATTTACAATATATTTATCATACAATTTCTTGACATTATTAAGGTACCGATAGGTGCTAGTATAGAAGGGAGATACTGCGTATAAAATTACCATAGCGATTTCCGTGCTGTAAGGGAAATCATACATTAAAATGTTCTAAAGATGTGGACTAAGACATAGCAACACAACAGGGTGAGATAAAAAAACTGCAACAAAGTCAAACGCCATCATTTTTAGTTTTTTTTTAATTTTATTGAATGAAAGCAAAATATGTCGGAAATAACATAAAATTTCAGAATACGTTTAGAAGCGAGGTACCTAATTTTGTAACCATTCTTGTGTGGCGCGTGCTATCTGCGATGGTGCTGAGCCCCGTTGGAAGGTCCAAGGTCTGCGGCTAAAATGTTTGCGTGCCCAAGGCTTTAATACACCCTCTAGAATATATAATAATAATATATTTAAAATTTTTTATCACTATTTTGACACAAATAAAACACAACTATACACGACAAGAGTTGCCAGACTTGGGCAAGTAAACACGATCATTGTGTTTGTTTGCAAACTGCTGGACAACGAATGTTTTCTCATCGGAGAAAACCGAATTCCATCACAAATAACTTTTTTTGTGGAAAATTCTCACCAAAATGCATTTGTACACTTGTAAACAATATAATGAGCAGTCACTGGAATAATTTTAACAGCTGTCGAACGAGTGGCATAAAAATGACAGCAATCTGAAGTTGGTTGAAGTTTTTTCATCTCACCTGTACTTAAGAACTCAGACATTTAGTTTTTGAATAGAACGCCAAAATTTCTATTTGTTAAGAAGCTCTTACATAATTTGATAACCTCCTGATCATATTGTCGCACAGGGACAGCCAGGAAGTAATTTCGGGGGTGGCGCCAATCTTCAATCCTGAAATATTTCAAATGGAGACCCAAATTTTTTTCTGATATAAAAATAGACACTAGTTCTACTTACTCCACCATACTATGGAGGGTATATTAACTTTGTCATTCGGATTGTAACTCCTCGAAATACTCATGTCAGACCCAACAAAGTATATATATTTTTGATCTGCGTAAAATTCTAAGTCGATTTAGCGGTATCCGTCCGTCTGTCTGTCCGTCTATCTGTTGTAATCACGCTATCTCTCGAACGAATTGACATAGAAGGCTAAAATTTTGCACACATGCTTATTTTGCCAGTAGGCAGGTTACGGTACCTTCCGATATTCGGTATTTTGATGATTTTAGCGACATTATTCACCGGAATTGTTTCAAATTTGGTATTTGAAGTTCCAAAAGGATAGTACAGCGTAAGACAGAAAAATTACTTTGCAGGTCCACGTCTTCGTATAGCCCCCATATAACGATACTTCCATATATTCGGTATTTTGATGATTTAGCGACATTATTCATCGATTGTTTCAAATTTGGCATTTGAAGTTCGTAATGCATACTACAGCTTACCACAGAAAATTGTATGTGCAGTTCCACGTCTTCATATAGCCCCCTATAACGGTACCTTCCAATATTCGGTATTTAGATAATTTCAGCGTTATTATTCAAATTACGTATTTAGAATTCGTTATGGGAACTACAGTCTGTGACAGAAAATTGTCTATTCAGGTCCAGGTCTTCGTATAGCCCCCATATAACGGTACCTCCCTATATTCGGTATTTTGACAATTTTCGGTGCAATACTCACAGAAATTGTTTGAGATGTCGTATTGGAAGTTCGTAATGGATGCTACAGCCTGTGACAGAAATTGTCTATGCAGGTCCAAGTCTTCGTATAGGTCCGATATAACGGTACCTCTCTATACATGGATTTTGTTGATTTTAGCTACATTATTCACCGTTTATTTAAAGTTTCGAATTTGAATATGATAATGGCTTATAACAAACAAAGCCTATGTGGGTCCACGTCGTATAGACCCCAATATAACGGTATTTTTAAGATTTTAACAGAATTTTTAACGGATTTTATTTTTTGAAAATTTCCAAATTCGTTGTTAGGGTATTCAAAGTTCGGCCCGTCCGAACTTACTGCTTTTTAACTTTTGAAAACTTAAATTTAGTGTTTATTATATACTCTTTGTTTCTACCTCACGTTTGAAAAATGTTACCATTGATAGCTTTTCGACCGAAGCTACGTGCACTCCACCATACATAGTATGGGAGGGTATACTAAGCTCGTCATTCCGTTTGTAACTCATCGAAATAATAATTTTAGACCTAACATAGTATGTTCATCCGTCTTTTGTAATCACTCTAAAGTAAAAACGAATTAAGATAGGAAAATTGTCTGTTCAGGTCCACGTCTTCGTATATTCCCCATATAACGGTTTTCATTTAAGTTGTATTTTTCGACGGATTTTTTTTTTTTTTTGAACTTTTTCAAGATCTTTCAAAGTGGTGGAGGATATTAAAAGTTAGCGAGTTTTTTACTTGTTTAGATTAAGATCCTTCTATGTGGGGTTGCTTTGAACCGTGCGGATACAAGTTCGTTTTTGGAAAAAATATCCGCAAATATGTTAAGTTGATTCCGTATTCTCTATCCAGGAGATGGGTCGCGATATATAGTTTGGAAAATACTAACACTAAAACTAAGGTCAGCCACGCGGACCGGGCCAGCTAGTTTAAAATAAAAGAAAGTTATGTTACCATTAATTTTGGTAGAATTATCTCATGTAGGGTTAGAAGCTAAGTTGCCAAATAGGGTTAAATCAATTGAAAAATGTGACCAAGACCCGGAAAATAGCAGTAATCAGCGGATAGCTTCATATAAGGGTTATACCAAAGCCTGGTCTTATACTTATAATTATTCGAAAGAATGTGTTGTTCTTTCTAAAATCTCAAATTACCAATATTTGAAGAATTTGAAAGGGGCTATATGTTTAAAGGGGGCTATATCACAACGCAAACCGACCTGATACATATTTTGTACAAATGATTCTTCATGTAACCCCCAGGATTGTCTATGTATGGTTGACCCGAACAACTTCCTAAGTGTAATTATTAACGAAAGCGCATAATCCCCGTATGACATTATACGTGAGTTAAGGTTACTTTTAAGGGTTCGGAAGAATTTACCGAGGATATGAATCCTTTTCTTACTAAATTTTCAATTCGCTCCACTATTTTGCATAGTCCGCATATTACAGTTCTTAACTGATCCCATTACCAACGAACAACAATTGATTTGTATATATATATATATATATATATATATATATATATATATATATAGATTTATTAATTACATATGTGTATATTTATTTCTTTTGCAGGTATTGTCCCTATTAACAGCAGGGGAGAAAAACAACGAATGCATTTACGCGATGGTTTTTTAGCTGATCAATTGGATCCAATATACGTTGCTTATAATATGTAAATATTTACATCTCATTTATAAAATTCAATAATTTATGTAACACATAAATGCTATATACGTATTAATCTTTTAACTTAAATATGTATACATATTCATGAGAAATACGCAATAAATATTTAAATCTTTGTAGCTTGAACAACAATTGTTTCTATTTAGTAATACATTTTGATTTACACCATGTTAAAGGAAGGCAATTTTTTAATCCTTTCATTGTCTTAAATAGCTAAAAATATAGATTTCGAAAAACTTTATGAGCTTTTTTAATTTTTAAATAAGTCTCCATTTAGTGAGATATTTTATGTTAGTCTAAAGTTCTAAACACCAGAATAAATGTTTAAAAATTTTGCAATTTGTTCATAATATTTGCTTATCTATGTTAAATTGAAAGTTTTTGCCGATTCGAGTGAATATGCGATATAGATCTTTTTACCAGAGTAAAAGCAAAAAATTCGCGATATTGCCGAACTTAATGTTTGTCTTAGCTGCAGACAAAATATATCATGGACAAATGACTGTATTTATTTATTTAGATTTACCCCCCTATGTAAGGAAGAACAACAAAATATAATTCTGGCAATAAAGGGAAATCAAATAATTAAATTGCAATTGTATGTCGGCATGAGATTTTCATTATGGCTTTTAATGGATTGAATGATGATTGATTTTGAAAAATGTCCAACAGGACTTGACGTTTTACAAAGAGCTACTATGGATTCCTATGAGCTGAATCGTGTGACTGGTATCTTATCATGAAACAAAAATCGTTGTGAATAGACAATTGTCAAAAATGTGAAGTCACAAATTGAAGATAAAGTATTTTTATTATAAATTAAAATTTTGCAACTAACTGGAAAATATTTGTAAATAATTTTAAAAAAAATCCTTAATTTGTTGTATAATAATCATTGGCATATAACTTGCCAATTTTATAGCACTGAAGCTTGCACAATTGTCATTTCTGCTTAAAACTGCGTTAAAAGAACATAATTATTTTTCATAAATATTTTTAATTTTTATATATTAACAATTTTGTTCTATGTCAGCATATAACTAAATGATTATTATTGTTTATTTTAAGCAGGTCAATAACCTAAATAAAAAACACCTCGATTGGTTTCAAATTGCATGGGATGAAATTTATTGCTTACCATATATTTAATGCTAGTTTTAATGAAATCCAATATGTATAAATAACACGAAAAATAAATATTCTTTGTAGATTGGACGAAATTATAAGCCTATTAAGATTACAAAATTCAACTACATTCCTTTACATTAATGAATATTTTTTGGTGCCACCGACGTGATACTAGCAAGGATAAAATTCAAGAGATTCACAAAAAAATTGAAATTACCCGCACAATAATAAATAACAGTAATTTTCAAGAGCCAGAAACATCAGGAGAAGGGCGACAGTTCCTTGTTGCAGAAATGAAAGACCAGTAACCACCTGCAGAAGGAAAAGCGCTTCTGTCTTAACCAAGCACCCAATCTTAACATTTGTGAGAAAGGTTTCCAGGGCAACACATATTCCGTGCGGACCTATCTACAATAATAGAACAACAGCAAGCAGCAATTGCCGAGTTGAGGAAGACGATTGCTAACGTGAAAAAGACTATTAGATAGAAAAAAGGTGGAGATCTACAGCAAAAAGTTGAAAGAGATGAAAGCAACCGCAATGGAAACAAAATTCGCCACGTAGCCGAGAATGAGTTCCAAGTCATTGGAGAATAATATAGAGCTGCAATCGACGACATCGAGGAAGACATCAAAGAGAGCATAGAAAAAAAGCCTCAAAAATCCAAGGTTGGTGGGGTACGATGCATTATCATATGTTCTCTTAGAGGAAGAGATGTTAAAATTCTAGGAATAAATATCGACGCTAACACAGGCCGATCGTACCAGCAGAGATCAGGCGGGAACATAGCAACTCAAGTTAATCTGCTAAAAATTACAAGTCCTGAATTCAATGGATATTATTCGAAGTGGCAAACCTTTGCTGGCATTTTTGGGAAAACGATCAACGAGCAGGCGTTGCCACTAGTGTAAAAAATGTGGTATTTCAAGGCTAACGTGACTGGAGAAACCGAGAAGCTCATAAGGCACCTCGAGTTTACTAGGGCGAATTAAGACTTCCCTTTAAAGACACTCCAAGACAGATACAACAACAAAAGAGCTCAAGTGTCAACTATACTTGGGAGGATATTAAACTTGTCCAGCATGGCTGGTGCTGGCAGATCAGTGAAGAACTTTCATTAATGAATCGTTATTGGCACTGAAGGTTCTTGGAGTAAAGCCAAAAGAATGGGATCCACTCTTAATCAACATCCTATCAAAGAGGATGGACAAGAACACTCATGTGTTGTATGAACAGTTGATTGTGGATACCAAAGAACTTCAAGTGATGGAGCATTTCATGAAATGTTTGGCTTCGACTCATTAGAAGCAGTCAATGGGATTCAGAAGAGTAAACCAGCACCGACGGTTGCTTCCACATGGACCCGTATATGTCAAATGTGCAAAGGTGATCACCTATATTACTGCAAGAAATTCTTGGCAATGACAGCGCCCGAGAGACAGAAATGTGTTTCCAGAAGCAATATGTGTTTAAATTGCTTAAAGGATGATCATCAGGCAAAAACGTGTCCAAATGGGCGTGCAGAAAGTGTCAAAAAATACAATACACTTTTACATTTTACCACAAGGCCGCAAGCAGAAAACCAGTCAGCCAACAGTGGCATTAGTGAATAGAGCTAAATAATACGTACTCCTTGCAACCGCACGGGTTGCGGTCAAGGCCAATAATGAAAGAAGCTATGATTTTAACCTTTAACTGGTAGGTGACATACGTGGTAAATTTTACCCCTCTAAAACGTTGTTTAAAAATATATTCTGATAACTATTTGTTTTATAAGTATAAGCTTGTATATTTTTAATTACAATAAGTAGATTTTATTCATCGCAATAGAAGAGAGAATTTCAAGAAAATGTGAAAGGAGGGTAAAATTTACAACCAACTCGTTAGTTAAAGGTTAAATCAATTTTGTATTCCGGCACACAGATCTTTCTGTATTCCGGCACACGAATCTTTCTTTTTATTGAAGGGTCGCTTATCTAAGGATGCAAGTCTTCGCGAGCAGTATGCTTAATTTGTGAAGGTGTATCTGGGACATATGACGAAAATACAACCAAGAGTGGTGCGTGGTAATCATTACTACATCCCACATCATTGTGTCTTACGCCCAAATAGTAGCACAACAAAGCTCGGCACAATTCTGTATTACGGCACACAGATCTTTCATTGAAGAGTCGCTTATCTAAGGATGCAAGTCTTCGCGAACAGTATGCTTAATGTTTGAAGGTGGATCTGGGACATATGACGAAAATACAACCAAGAGAGGTGCGTGGTAATCATTACTACATCCCACATCATTGTGTCTTACGCCCAAATAGCAGCACAACAAAGCTCGGAGTTGTGTCCGATGCGTCTTGTAAATTATCATCTGGGTGGTCACTCAATGATATTTTGCATTCAGGTCAAAAGGTTCAAAGAGATCTATTTGGAATGTTGCTGCGGTTCAACTGCCGAGACTTGTGTTCATAACAGGCAGTCACAGTCGACAAAAGGGATCTCAAATATCAGCAAATCGTATGGAGAAACAGATCTTAGATCTTAAAGATCTAAACCCCATTATAAATGTTTAAAAATTTTGCAATTTATTCATAACATTTGCTAATCTAAGTTAAACTGAAAGTTTTTGTCGATTCGAGTGAATATGCGATATAGATCTTTTTACCAGAGTAAAAGCAAAAAATTCGCGATATTGCCGAACTTAATGTTTGTCTTAGCTGCAGACAAAATATATCATGGACAAATGACTGTATTTATTTATTTAGATTTACCCCCCTATGTAAGGAAGAACAACAAAATATAATTCTGGCAATAAAGGGAAGTCAAATAATTAAATTGCAATTGTATGTCGGCATGAGATTTTCATTATGGCTTTTAATGGATTGAATGATGATTGATTTTGAAAAATGTCCAACAGGACTTGACGTTTTACAAAGAGCTACTATGGATTCTTATGAGCTGAATCGTATGACTGGTATCATGAAACAAAAATCGTTGTGAATAGACAATTGTCAATAAATGTGAAGTCACAAATTGAAGATAAAGTATTTTTATTATAAATTAAAATTTTGCAACTGACTGGAAAATATTTGTAAATAATTTTAAAAAAATCCTTAATTTGTTGTATAATAATCATTGCATATAACTTGCCAATTTTATAGCACCGAAGCTTGTACAATTGTCATTTCTGCGTCAAAAGAACATAATTATTTTTCATAAATATTTTTAATTTTTATATTTTAATAATTTTGTTTTATGTCAGCATATAACTAAATGATTATTATTATTGTTTATTTTAAGCAGGTCAAACACCTAAATAAAAAACACCTCGATTGGTTTCAAATTGAATGGGATGAAATTTATTGCTTACCATACACTTGATGCTAGTTTTAATGAAATCCAATATGTATAAATAACACGAAAAATAAATATTCTTTGTAGATTGGACGAAATTGTAAGTCTATCAAGATTACAAAATTCAAGCGTTGTGTACAACTACATTCCTTTACATTAATAAATATTTTTTGGTGCCACCGTGGTGATAGGACAAAATTCAAGAGATTCACAAAAAAAAAAAAAAAAAAAAAACAGAAATTACGCGCACCATAATAAATAACAGTAATTTTCAAGAGCCAGAAACATCTGGAGAAGGGCGACAGTTCCTTGTTGCAAAAATGAAAGACCATAAACCATCTGGAGAAGGAAAAGAGTTCCTGCCTTAACCAAGCACCCAATCTTAACATTTGTGAGAAAGGTTTCCAGGGCAACACATATTCCGTACGGACCTATCAACAATAATAGAACAACAGCAAGCAGCAATTGCCGAGTTGAGGAAGAGGATTGCTAACGTGAAAAAGACTATTAGATAGAAAAAAGGTGGAGTTCTACAGCAAAAAGTTGAAAGAGATGGAAGTAACCGCAATGAAAACAAAATTCGTCACATAGCCGAATCGTCAGAGATGAGTTCCAAGTCATTGGAGAAGAATATAGAGCTGCAATCGACGACATCG